ATCACAACTGTCCCAACAGCTATTGTCGTCTTTACAGTCTCCACAGAGTTGGTGCAGCTGTTTTGTTTTGGGGGTTTTTTCCCATATTTGGTCAGTGCAAATAAAATTACCCCTGACAGCACATTTTTGCTAAAGGCGTGGGTTGTAGCCTGAAAAAAAAACAACAGTTAGTTGCTGTAAAAGCTCAAACTGGAGAAATGTAAATAGATTGTGAAGGCAGGTCTGAAAATGACTCGAAGTCACTACAATTACATCAGCCTCTGATCACTATGTCAGAACTGTGGCCAGAGCGAGTACTGTAAAATGTTAACAGAGCAGACACCTCACTGTGAGTAGGAAGCATTTTAAATCAGCTTTGGATACAGTATCCTTATTAAGATTTTTGGAATTTAAGAGGTAATGTGTTATCAGTAACCTCAAGCTAATCTAACAGACACAATATCTATAGATCTTCTCCTGTTAAGAAGAGTAACACACATTTTTGACCTGTTGGCACAATAAATAAATGAGACTCTTGCATAAAGTTTTGTTCTTAGAAGGCTGTTTTGCATCAACATATCCAAAGTATATGAAGTGTATCTGCAACTTATAACAATTTGCTTTTAAAGTTGCCCAATGCTTCATAAGATTTGGAGAGTAAAGTAAGAGTTAATGAAATGCAAAAACTTATTAATTTCAGTTTTTGGATCTTCTGGTTCTTCATTTAAGTAAGGTACATTTTCATTTATCATAATGCCAATTTTCTGTGAGATTATAAGATATTTATTGCCCACTTTGAGATGATCTGTTGAGCAGAATACACATATAGAGGAATTTAGGTTTCCAGTGACCAAATGAATAACTCCAAACAAAACCAACTACACCTCAGGCCAGTCAGCACAGATGCAGCATGATAAAGGTGCATTTGGTTGGAGGTGTGGGATGTGGTGGTGAGGGTGAGTCAACACACGCCTACACACAAACACACACACGGTGCAAACAAATGAAGGTTTGCTTAACCTGGCACTGTGTCACCCCAGAGCTGGTGGCTTCACTTACAGATAAAAGTCATCCTAACAAAGCTCCACAAACAATATTTTTTTTTACCTATGTCTTTACAAATGCTACAGGTACAAATATCAGTGCAATCTCCATAGAGATGTGGCAGCAGAAATATATCAAGGAACTCAAAAGCAAGACTTAAAGTTAGGCCTGGTGCTTAATGAAAACTTATTCTGTGGACAATTGTGGACAGAATGCATTTAAATTGTCCTAAAAGCACTCTGAATTGATGTGGCGGTGTCTGGTCATGAATGTTTGACAGCATAATTGCATCCCAAGAATAAGACCTACACCAAATATTAGCCTAACAGATGGCAATCTGAAATTGCTTTTAAAATAATCATTCTCAAGGTGATCCTGACTGTGTGCCTGAGGCCAACTCTGTGAACTGGTAGCCATATGCTCCAACATGAGATTTTCATGCCATCAGAAATCAGCTAGCATTATCTCTGGCCCCCGTGGGACAAGATATAATTTACTCACCCAACAGTCAGAACCTAAGGCACACTGACATTAAAACATATCCATCTAATCATGCTCTAATTTCTTTAATGATCCTGTCACACGGGATGAAAGAACAGTCAGTCTATTGTGTCAGGTGGAAAGGGGTCACTGCAGCATCATCAGTAAAGAAACAAAAAAGTTGTGTCATTGCGTCACAGCCTTTCTGACAGTTTGCTCACTCACTACATTCAAACTTGTACGATCAATCAGGGCAGGTCCAACACCCCCCAGAATACTTCTGATGATTTGTTGGTGGCAGCATTTGCCCCATGCATTTCAGCAATAACAATGACAACTATTTTTTTCTGGTCTAGCACACACTTTACTTCTGATTGCTCACAGGTCAGAAAGTCAACGCATGCTTACGTACATGGCGGCTGGTGTGATCCCATCGCATCGTTTGTAACCTTTGTAACATTGTTTATTTAGAAATAAATGTTGCTATTTTTATTACTCTACTTATATCTATATTCTGAATGTTTAAGTCAGCACAGTGTACTTCATCAGAAGAGCTTGGAAGTCCCCTCCCCCGCACCATTCCAACATCATAACTGGGTGGGGGGTTGCGTGTAACACTTTCTCTAGCTTTCCAAATCTGACATTCACACCCACTTCATGCTATGATCGGACAGCTATGTGGAGATGAAAAAGAAAGCAGGGTTTGAACTTCTCTCTCTCTGGCTCTATTTTCATTCATTACACAGCAATTTCATGTTGACAGCAGAGTGCAACACTGTGAATGTCTTCCGACAGAAACTGCTGGAATGTGTGCACAGTTAACAACATCACATCTCCCCCTCTCTAAGACGGCAGGCTTTTCACCCTGCCTTCAACACGTCGTACAAAATAGTTTTTTTTAACTTGCTAGCTTTTCTAGCAAAACCTAAACCTTACCCTGGTCCACGAATTTCATTTTAGTTGAATTTGGCTGTTGCCCTCCTCTGTCCCTCCACTTCCAGGATACAGGGTTGACAGAGTTGACATGGGGCCTTTGAAGAAAACTGCTGAACCCAGGTCTTTGCTAGCAGGGTAGTCCACCATGCAGAGTGCCCTTTGTCCCAGTTATACACATAGCATTTAAGCACATAGACAGCATGCCATTGAATGCCCACAGGAAGTGAACAAACTGAGTGACAAAAGTCTTTTTTGCCATTTTCCAGTTGTCACTGTTGACGTGTCAAGCTGCTTTCTCATTAGTAATGCATTATGTAAATAGGCAATCTGTGACTCTCTGAGCAGTTTAAGTGCCTTTGTGCCAATTATCTTTTCCTCCTCTCCTCCACTCTTTAACCCCCAAATAAACTTTGTGACATGCCACATCATCACTGTTTTATGGAAAATCACTGCAAAACTGGTGAATTTTACTCTCCTTTGCACATTTCACTTGAGAATTTATCACATTTGTGGTCAACCCCATTTCACCTGGTATCCCAAAATGCTCAGAAAGGCAACTTCATCTCACATCACATCCCTCGTCATATGAGCACAGTTGGTTCCACGCTGACTTTGTGGGTGCCAGCTGTGGGTAAACAGCCATACACAGAATACAAACAGCACCTCGGGGAGTATGGAGTCCATTCCTATTTCACTGTGAAGAATGTGCAGAAGTAACTTAGCAAGCCTCTAGTCTAGTCTGATAGAGTGCTCTGCCTGTGGTAATAGAGCTGGGGTTACAGTGCGAAACCTACACACACAAAGTAAAGGACAAAAACAAACCATAATGTTTTTACTGATATGTTAAGTATGCTACTTTTCATCAGCTCCAGCCATTAGTGATGGCTTTATCCACATTTGCAGGTGCACAAGAACTCTGAGTGGATGAAAAGTGGTTTAGTATGCAACCTGTGAAATGTCAGGTGCTTAGTGAGCAGTGTGTGCAGACTTATTCTACATCGCAGATTTATAATGCTTAGAACATTAAACCCAGCATACTGTCAGTCCTTGCGCATTTGGAGGTTTAGGGATTGTTAGAATGACAACAACTGGGTCACAACAGATTAAAACGGCGCAGATTAATTTTTTTCATCCAGTCATGTCTTTTTAATTTGCTCAAAAACTTACAGGGAGGTATTACCAACAGACAAGGGAAGTAGTAATAAGTTATATTTGTTTTAGGGCTGGTTCATAGTCTGTGGACAACTGCATTTTGTTTACATCCGTTTCTACCCTTTTTCTGAAGTCTACTTGGGCATTACTGTTGGAAAACATAGCAGCAGCTACAACAGGTGGCACAGCACATTTCCCCACTAGCTGCCAGCTGGCAGCCAACTAGCACCGAAGGAAAGTGACTTTCAATAACACAACTGTTGGCTTTTTGCAGCATATCACAACAAAGAGCAAGCATATTATTACAATTTGGATGGACGGAGTAGTAGTTATTTTAACAACAACTATCATGCAAAGTGAATAAATTCAGAGCCAGAAAACATTTTATAATTAGTCTGTTGTGGGATTTTATAAGAATTCAGTTAAATGTTCTGTTTGTAATTAACTCCCTTATGATTTTATTCCTACTGTATTTACATTTGCTGATTAGTGCTGAGAGTTCCTTCAAAACTCCATCCACTCGTCTGAATGCATATAGCAACTTGATTATTTGGGGAAAATACAAATCCTCTGTCATGATCTAGTTTTTAATATTTATAACCTGATGGAATTTTACAAGAGAAATATGATGTTCAACTCTTTTGTGTGTGTGTGTGTGTGTGTGTGTGTGTGTGGTGTCCATCAGGTAGATGAACAAATTTGCCATATGTTTAGGATCATTCACAAAATTACAAAATGTATACACATACACAATACAATGTATACATGAACATTATTTCTGTCCTGACCTGGTTTCCTTTATCCTAATAAAGTTAAAGCAGCCAGGGGATTTATGAATAGGACATACACTTTTTAGGGACTGTGTGAAACAGCTTTATGCTATAGACATTAACTGTACAGTCCGAGCGCACCATGCTCATCACTCTTTGCAAAAAGCCTCCAGTAAAGTTCGTGTTTTCATGTTATATCCTTGAGCCTTCATCTGCACCTGCTCATCAGATGTGTGAGAACATCAAATACTGGACTGTCGTGTAAAGTCGGAGTTCAGCACAGGCGTCTTCTCCACACTTATGAATATTTTACGCGTACCATTGTCTCCGAAAGCTCCTTTTAAAAACCGGCACAGCACAAACATGATTATGTAGACGGTGCGGGTGTCCTGTCAAAATACATTAAGCTTCACCCCTGACGGACACGCAGGGAGACTTTGATGTGGCTGCGGACTTCAGAACGTGCGCTCGCTCATTCTGCCGGTGAGGAGAAGAGCGTCACCGCGCGACTGAGCTGCGCGCGCTCACGTGGAACCTATAAGCGGACGTGGCGCGCAGAGCTTGTGAGTAGTCTTGAGGAGAGGAGGAGAGGAGGAGAGGATAATCGTGGGAGAAGACAGCATCTGTACCGCTGTGGCAGGAATGCTCAAAATGAAATTATCACAAAGCCTTTTCTCTCTTTTTTGTAACACATAGCTGTCCAACTTTGCTATATGTGAGCAAGAGAGTCCAGCCATGCAGCTGAATCAGACTGGAGTTCAAACACTGGCTCCAGAGCCATGTGAGCAGCAAATACTACAAGAGGACAACCCTGGAAACTGTAGCGGAGGTCCCACTAGCAACCTGTCGCTGCACTGCTGGCTGCAGCTCCTCACCAAGGAATCTATCATGGAATTTCAAGGAGACAGCTCCAGTCTAGTGGTGCGTGTGATGATAGCATGTGTCTACTCTATAGTTTGTGCACTCGGGCTGGTGGGAAACTCACTGGCTCTGTACCTGCTGCACTCACGTTACAGGCAGAAGCAATCATCCATCAACTGCTTTGTGATGGGTCTGGCCATCACAGACCTCCAGTTTGTTCTGACTTTACCTTTCTGGGCAGTGGACACAGCCTTGGACTTCCGCTGGCCATTTGGCCGTGTGATGTGCAAAATCATCAGTTCTGTTACCACAATGAACATGTACGCCAGTGTATTCTTCCTCACAGCTATGAGTGTGGCACGCTATTACTCCATCTCCTCTGCATTGAAGATGCACAGCAGGCGGGCAGCAGCCACCAGGGCAAAGTGGACAAGCCTGGGCATCTGGGCTGTCTCTCTGCTGGCCACTTTGCCTCATGCCATCTACTCCACTAGTGCCCAGGTGTCAGATGAGGAGCTATGCCTGGTGCGCTTTCCAGACTCAGGTAGTTTGGATCCACAGCTTCTTTTGGGTCTATACCAGCTGCAAAAGGTTCTGCTGGGTTTCCTTATTCCTCTGATCATAATCACTGTCTGCTATCTGCTGCTACTGCGCTTAATCCTCACCAGACGCATAGCAGGTGCAGCAGGGCCAGAGATTGAGCAGGGCCGGCAAAATCGTCGTTCCAAAGTCACCAAATCCATTGTCATCGTCGTTCTGTCCTTCTTTCTGTGCTGGCTTCCCAATCAGGCGCTGACTCTGTGGGGAGTGCTCATAAAGTTTGACCTTGTGCCCTTCAGCAAGGCTTTCTACAATGTGCAGGCCTATGCCTTCCCCCTGACTGTGTGTTTGGCACACACCAACAGCTGCCTCAACCCTGTGCTCTACTGCCTAATTCGCAGGGAGTTCCGGGCAGGTCTCAAGGAACTTCTCCTCCACGCCACTCCATCCTTCAGGAGCCTGACTCACCTGCTGCATCGCAAGGCCAAAGTGGCTGAGGCGCCTCCTGTTCTGGTGCTGGTCCAAATGGATGTCTGACTTGCTTACAGTGACACAATAGCTGATGGAGTGAGTGACTGACACACAAAAGTGAAAGCTTCATATAACGCTATCGATCTGCTGTGTATCATGACAATGCATTCATCTCAACCCTGAACACAGAGAATCAAATATCTCTTTGGCTTCTGAAAACAACATAATCATGATGGACTACCCAGTGGGATGCGCCTTTCACTTTCACTGCGTGCTCCACGATTCGCTCTGCTGTAAATGTTTTTACTTGTTATGCAGCGGCTCTTGCTGTTCGTCTCTCTGTTTCTCTCTCTGCCTCTGACAGGCAAGTACTGTTCTCTGGTAAACTGTCATGAATATGTATAGATGTCAGTCATAAATGAGATTTAAATAGTTGCAGCTCTCAGACACGCCTGACATGAGCTCAGTTAAATCTAATTGTAAACCTCAATTAACATTTGCCACACCATCGGCATCACTCACAGAGGCTGAAAACTACGCTATCAACAGTGCATGAGCATCTCACTGATAAAACTCTCTGACTGTGAACTGCTGAGGGATTTACTTTGGTACAACAAGTGTAAATTACGACACAGATGAGAGAGAAACATGAATAGGAAATGAGTAATGGGTAGGTTTTCCAGTGTGCTGGCCAGTCGTTGTGTTTGTGTTTGTTCTATGGTGCAATTGTGTACATTGCTCGATATAGTAAAAGCTAATTTTTTTTTTTTTTTAAAAAGTAACCCTTAACAAATCATTTAAAATGTGGGTCAACAGTGTACAGAATATAGATTTGCTATATCTGAAAGACAATAAAAGAGCAAAGTAAGTGAAAAGCCTATTGCTGCATATTTGTAAAAAAAAAAAAAAAAAAACTGAAATTGGCAAATTCAACTACTGTTCAACGTCTGTGCAATTTATTTTTCTAGGAGAAAGAATTGCATAATAGTTGATTGGTCAAAAGGTTCATGACTCAAATTGTGACAAAACAAAAGACTACAAAAACAGTAGAAGGTACAAGAACTTAAACCAATGTCCTATCCCTTTTTTCCACTCAGACACAGACACACACTGGGTGCACATCATGTACGTGGTGTGTCTGAATGAACAACATAATTAATCATTTAGAACTTGCATTAAATTTGCAGATTTGTGTGTCTTTGCAGCATATTGAAACCAGGCCATTCATTCATAAGAATTAAGCATCTCTCAACAGGACAGTCCACTGATGCCAGCACCAGCTGTTCCTTCTCTGTTAAATTACACAGGTTACATGTGTTGCAAAAGCACATTACCAAGTGAAACTGATGTGATACTGTGATCTGCTGTGAATATACTGCCTCTCTGTATTCTATCATGACTGTGGTCATAATCATGATATTTTATGGAGGACATTTGTTGATTTGGTGTTATATTGTGTGAACTTATGATGTATAAAAATGGAGTAAAAATTCAATTAAAAACCCTCACCTTGAACTATTTGCAATAACTGGGCAAGGCCAAGTTAGAATAAAGAGCACATACATGGGAAGATGAATTAGGCAGCTGAGACTGAATTAAGTGGCACTAACGTTGTTGTAAAACAATCCCATACTGAGAGAAGGACATCTGACAATAGATAAGCAACTGCTCCACAAAAGCCCCTGAGTTACAGTCACCACTGGTTTGCAGTAATTTAATTTAGTTTAAATTAATTGCCAATTTGCCTTGCAATGTGCCCCACTTATGAAATGATAAGAGCATTAAAGGTCCTGTATTATGAACTAATCCTGACACATATGGTGGCTCTGTGTCAAAACCTACAGTAAGACATTTAGATCATCATTTAGATATATATATTGTTTTTAGATGTTGCATATTGATAAATAATTTTGTGTTCAAAATGCCATACACTGACTGCTAACCTGAAGTCAGGTGATATTCCAGTTAAAATGTGGCTATTGCTTGGTTTGCTTGCTTCTAGGCAAAATATAATTTATCTGCCATGGGTAGTCTGCTAAGTGCACTCTACTTGAAGGCAACCTGGTACATACACAATGCACAAAGAGTGGGAAGAGGGGGGTCAACCGGAGCCCACAGCTCATTTTTACCCCAGGGCTCCTAGTGGGTTAATCCAGCCATGCTGGGAACAGAATTATTTTCAGAAAATAGCAGAATTAGAGACTTGTGTAACCTTATGTTACTCTGAATCTGTGGGACATTAATTAATGCAAATATTCTGAAATAACTGCAATTTTTTTTCTTTAACGATGTTGCACCTTGCTTGCTGTATAAAGAGCACTGCCGGTTTGTTTAATTTCAGTCTCTTGTAGAGTCAGTGTGCGGGGTAGTTTCTCTGGCCTGACGAGCAGATTTTTTTAAATGAGCATGTCTGACAACATCAGTGATTCTCCATTATAATCACTGGTTTTAAACGATGGGTTTATTTTTATACACTTGGTCCATTGCTTTCACTCTCAGGTGTGGAGGATCACTTTTTTAATTACCCATACCTGCATGACAGAGATTTGTGGCCTCAGTGCATGCATCCTGTAAACTCTAGTGTGTACACCACAGAAAACAGTCCAGGGTTAGCCTTGTTCCAATAACAACTGGTAGGCCTCCTTGTTTACAGCCAAATGGCCAGCCATGAAAACATGGCATGAAAAACTCATAATGATAATAGCAAGTGTCATGTTTGTGTAAAGCCTAAAAGGTCTACTATCCCCTGACAGCAGCCTGAGGCAGAAAGGCAGACAGACTGACCAACAGAATAGATTTAGATTGGTCTAAATATCATGAACTATAACAATAAAATTCAACACCTGAGAGGAAATGGAGCAATGACTTCTAAACACTCTAGCAATAAAGAGATATACCTGTAGGGCAGGACATGGAGGACTGGCTGACTCATGAGGAAGTCAAGACAGCAGAAAGACTTTGAGCTCATATTTTATTATAGCACTGTCAGGTTTTATCTCTTATATTACACTATGCTTTGGCTGCAATTCAAAGAACTGGGTGATTGTCTTGCACACTCTCAGAATGAAGTCATGTCTGAGTTCATAAGATAACACAGCTAAAGGGCCCATAAAAGTGTCAAAGCATCTTTTTTCCTCCTTTCGCTCTCTTTTTCTTTATTTTTTTATGAGACAAAATACCACATCCAACATACAGAAATCCACTGCTACAACAGGAGTACATGGAGTTTTAACAGTGAGCTAATAGACTTATCAATATACACTAACCTACCATTCATGTCAGGCTGTTTGATCAATACTCATCTAAGTTCCCCCTGGGACAGGAAGTGGTAATGGAAGGTTGAACAACACCCTTGGTGCTGACCTTTCTTTAGGACCTAATGATATCCTAATGACAGTCGCATCTCTAGAATATCTAATTGTCCCTCATTAGTGGTACACGTGCGCAGACTTAACAGAGGCGGAGTTGACTTTTTCAACCACGGATGGGATTATTTAGATGTGGGTCAAACACATAAGAGTGTTAGTGCAACGTAGTTTTAATCAAAAGCTCCTGAGGTGAAGGAGACCCCATACTGCTAAACTGATTATCTATACATGTAAGGCAACAAACTGGGCAGCTCATGAAAGATCTGAGAGGTGGGGGTATCACATAGGAGATGCTGGCTCCTCATTAGTTAAAGGGGAACTATTATGCTTTTCCTTATTTTCTGTCTTATAGATATAATGTTACCATGTAGGATGTCCATGTTAAATGTGGCCAAGTTTAATTTTCAAATAATGAGATAAAGATATGTAAAAGTAAACCCTGTGATATAAAAGCTCAGGCTTCAGGCTGCTCTTAACACTAGGCTCCAACTTTCGTGAGGAGATGACGTTCGTTCTCTATTCTCTGTTATATTACAGGCATTTAATGTACTCCAGCATACAAATAATCAACAGACAATATGTATATACGGATTGTGACTTAAAGACTATATCCATCATTATGTCACACAATAAGCAGGTAATGGGTGTAATATTTGCTGATCAGAGACATCCTGCAGTAATCTTTTTCGCTGCGGATGTTTGTGCTGCCCCGTTATGTTCCTGATGAGATTCAGGCTCGACATGATTTGAGAGTTTGTCATTTCCAATCAATTATCTTATTTTACTTAGTAGTTTTACAGTTTGCCTTCAGAACCTCCAAACGAGGATGAGAGGATGAAGCTTTGCTCATGAGCACTGGGAGCAACCCCTCGGCCAATCAAAAGAATGTGGGCTTTACCGTTTCGGGGGCCTGGAGCTAATATTGCCTGTTTCAGTCAGAGGCTCAATTTAGGGGTTACATAACAGGCAGAATGAGATAAAAAATGATTTATTTTTTGAACTGCCAATAATGCAAAGCTACCCTAGTGGAGTGCCAGAATAAAAAACAGCAAACAGCTGCAAATGAGCATAATAGGTCCCGTTTAACAATTGAAAAAAAGAGCACAAGGCGGTTGTTGTTGAAAATGCCTTAAAACAAATGAGACCACAACCACAATTAATCAATGTCACTGTGTGCGCAAACACACTTTTACTCCCCTTATTTCTCCTTGCTATTTTAATCCTCTGTTTTTTCTTTGTGCCGCCTTGTCTCTCAATTATTATAATAAACTTCCCTTATCTACCAATTTAAAATTATTGCCCTCTTGCAATGTAATCCTCTTCAGTGGCATTTATCTCAAGAGCATTTCTAAGTGGGAATCTTATTCATGGTAAATAAAAAAAACACTTATCTCGTTTTCACAAACTCACAAAGCCACAATTCACTTGTCATAACTAATTAAACACTCAAAGCGGCATGTTTCTCTCCGTGGGAGTTCATTTTATTTTATTATACTTCATTTCCACTCATTCCCTGCTAGATTGTCTATTGTGTTTTTCCATGTTGCAGCTTTTCCACCTGACTTACCTGTTATACCCGTTTTTGACTACCTGCCCGACTGCAGTGGCCGAAAGTAAGGGGAACCACCATTGGAGGTTACCTCAGAGTGACATCATTGGATCTAAGGCAACCTCTGCCTGTACTGCGGCCACTCTGGTCACTTCCTCAGGACCTGTCCAGTAAAAGCCAGCTGGTGAGCCATCCTCTTTAGCACAGCTCCTCTTTCCTGACCAGGTGCGTGTGGCGGTGGTGTTCCTCGACTCCAGGTTGGACTGCCGTTGTCGAATGGAGAGCTCCCATGCCATGTCACCCATCACATGAGCATGATGGGTAACCACCATGAAATCAATAACTTTCATGTCATTGATTCTCAGCAATTATTACTCATTCTGGGGGACCCCTGGTTATGCCAATATTAACCCCCATGTTGAGTGGACCTCTGCAGCCTGCTGGGGTGGAGTTTTCGATCACAGCCATGCTGTAGGGCTCAATCAATCGCATTTGCGATAATACCGCGATATGATAAAACAAGATTTTCTAACCACAAAGGCTGCGATTACACTCTGATCATGTGACATGCAAGCGAGAGTAGAGCAGCCAGCTAAAAGAAGGGAGCAACAACGTGGCACGCTACACTTTGACCTGTTGTACAATGGCCACAGGCTCAACAGAACCTGGCACTGCCGAAACTTTTGTGTACAAAGAGGAGCAGTACGTCGGCTTTAAAAAGAAGAAGATACTGCACAGCGTCAGGTATTGTGCAGAACCTGTGTTGCTACCGTTGCTACCTCACCGGGAAACACTACTAACTTGTATCAGCACAACAAAGCCATGTACAATAGTTGCATGGCTAAAATGCCAACCACCAGTGTGTCAATTAAGCCAAATACCACCTGACAAGGATC